AAATGAAACTTGGCAAAAACAGAGTTCCCATTAATCTCTCATTTCTCACATTCATTTCTATCTCCTGAATTTTCCCCATGGAAAACCTCAAATGAATGACAAGCCAATTACATCCAAGGTAACACTATATTGATGTTGAGTTCGTTTTTGTTCAGTCATGAGAATAAAGTTCTCAGCATCATTTCCCATAGAAAATTTATTTCACTTGTCTGTGTTTAAAAAGAGGAAGCTGAAGCCTGCCCTTGAAGCAGCACATGGAGAACTCCCACTTTCTCCTGGCAGAGCAGCTGAGAGTTTGCCCGCTTGTATGATCCATTCACACCTTCCCAAATCCACTGGGAAGCTACTGAATAGACAGCAACCCATAAGATAGAGAACTGTTGTGAGGACAAGTAAGGCTAGGAAAACTGTATGTAGTAGCAAAAACTTAAATTCGGTCTTAAAAGTCTCATCCTCAACTTTTAAATGACTCGTCTTCCTGGCACTGTGGATTTGAATCATTCCTAGTTCCTTCTTCTATCAAAATTATCTAGGTAGCAATCTACCTATTGCTTCCTGCATAAAGAGTCTACAAATGGTGTCGCAACTAACATTCCCATTCGTTGTTATTCCCAACACTTCCTACACTGGCTTTTCCAAGGCCAAGTTCATCTTTCCCCATCTCCTAACCCAACTTAATGTAATCCACACTTGAGTCCTTAAGCAGGCACCATGAAAGGGCTGTTCAGCCTTTGGCACCTCTGCACCACATTGGAAGAAGAGTTGTCTTAGGCCACACATTAAACACATTGTGACATGTAATCACAAAAAGAACCTCATAATCTTTTAAGTGAATTTATAACTTTGTGTTGGGACACATTCACAGCCGACCTGGGTTGCATGCGGCCCCTGGGGCTACAGGTTAGACACCCCTGTATGTTTGGTTTTCTTTCCAATAAAATGTATATGCCAAAAGATAGGAAATGTTTAATCATTTCTTATGCCTCCCATAGTACTTAACTCAGTATTAGGCACTTAGTTCATGTCAGCAGAAGTCACAGGTGATCAGACGGACGTGACTTTAATGATCATCTAGCCCAAACCTCTCTTCTATACTTTGTTTATATGAATTATGCTTGACAATCAGAATGTCACCATTTACTTTTTTGGGAAAACAGTTCTTAACTCTTGGGTTAGGAATCTGCAGGGGGAAATCTCACATACATCTTTTATGTAATGTCAAGGTTTTACAGAATTAATGAAGCCATTTAAGAATAATATACTATCAATAACAACTATGGGTGTTTACTGTATGCTAAGCGCTATTTCTAAAGCTTTACACAGGGTGGTATATATGACTGGGTCATATTTTCTGGCATTCCTTGCAGTTAAGATGAAACCATGCAATTAAGTTCTCCCCAGTGAAGTAGGAAAGAAAGTGACAGACAGAACTTCTGGGCCGGGGCCCTAAAGAGAAATATGCCTCCTCCATACTCTCCACTTCCTGCTGGCTGGGCCAGGACCTCTCGGCCACCAGCTCTGACTCCTCAAAGGACAATGCTCTGGGGTAGGTGGAAAACAAGCTGGGAAGAGCTTTAATCCCTATACGACTCTCAGGAGGAAAGCCACCCCAACATCTAGGACACCCTAACGGGACTGCTAGGCAAGAAAAAAATTAACTTTTACCTTATTAGAGACACTGTTTGGCATGAATTATTTATTGCAGCAGCTTAGACTACTCCAATGAATACACACAGATTACCAGTGAGCCCCCTCAGCAACCCTATGGAATTGTTACTCTTACTATCCTGATACTAGAGGTCAGGAAAATAAGGCACCAAGAACTTAGGAAATCTCCTCAACACGACTGGAAGCCAGGTCTAAGCCAGGCAGTCTGGCTCCAGGGTGCAAGCACATTAGAAACCCTGCCAAACATCTCAAAAGAAACAGCTATTCTTACGTGTTAAGCCACTGTGCCCATGTTTGTTTTGTTTTGTTTTGTTTTTATAACCACCACCCCAATTTCTTACTGACTAGCAGGGGTTTCTGCATCTAAATATGTACAAACAAAATGACACACAATTAGCATGCACTTGCTCCCTGTATACCAGTCACTGTTCTATGTCACATACATTAACCAATTTAATCCCATGAGGTTGGTCTATTAATATCCCAGTTGTGCAGATAAGGCACAGGAGGGTTTAAACAAACTGTCTGGAAACATGATTAGTAAGTGAACAAATAGGATTAGAAACCCAGGCTATTATGGGACTGAACTTTACCTCACTGGTTGGTGGTTCCCAACTGGGGCTGGCCATTATCAAAATATACACCTATCAGGTCGCTCAGGGTGTAGGAAGTGAGCACTCTCACTGTTGAATGTGACAGCCTTTGTGAACCTCTTTACTGTTTTGAAGGTCCCTATCCTTAACCAGACAGCTGCTATTATACGCACTGGTAATGGGGAGTCACCAGACTCACCAGCAAATAATTCCAAAACAATACTCCTAAAAAAAGGCAATGCAGCTTTGAGTCTGGTCACATTGGGTGGCTGGGCGGGGGTCCTAGCCTATTTCTCCTAAATTTAAAGCTACCTAAGCAGATAGGCTCAATATACTTTTCACTCATATGCTTTAAGTGTAGATAATAGTTTTCTGCTACAGAAACCTTTTGGCAGAATAATTAACACTGTTTAAAATACAACACTGGACAGCCATGGCCTCTGCCCCCTCATTGCTTTCAAAATAACTACACTGATGAGGGTATTTCCCCCATTTGCATTTCCTGCATATAGGTTTTGAGAAGAAATGAAAAATACTCTTTATCACAATGTATCTGTCCCCCCACCCCTCCCCCTTATTTCCCTTTGAAACAACAATACTGGTTTACATCAGCACAAAGTTTTGCCTATGCTGAATCACAGGACAAGCAAAAACATTTCACCTCTTGCTTCACAAACAAGGAAAGTCAGTCTCCGGGAGGAAAGCAACATGCCCAAGGCAACCAAGCCAGCAAGCAAAGCACCATGACTCGAGTCCTGGTTCTCTGCCACCACCGCGGTGAGAAAGGCTTACAACTACTGGTAAACAGGATGCTTTTAGCTGGTTCACAAATATTTTTTGGCCATTATACTTAAAAGAACCACATCTAATCCATACTTTCACAGGCATTATTACTTAAGGCTAAGCTATGGTTTTCAAGAAATGAGTTGTATTTAGTAAACAATAATACTGATATACGGCAAATATGGAAAACTGGTAAGGGGTATTCAAGTGACTCACGTGGGGGAAACAAATGCACCACCATGACCCTCTCCTTCTAATTTATGGGTTAAATTAACAATAAGCAGGGCATTAAGCACTGATCTCTTACTCTCTAATTCAACTACTTCGTTTTTTTTCTTGTCCTATTGTATTGGCTAGGACCTCCAGCACCATACTGAAAAGCAAGCATTACTGATAGTCTCCTTATCAGATCCTAAATGTAATGCTACTTCTAAAGTTTCACCACTAAGAATCATGTTTTTTGTTTGTTTTTAGTAGAGACACTGTTTCTGAGTTTATGGAAATCCCCTCCAGTGCCTAGCTCAGTAAAAAAATTTTAACACTTATCTCTGACCCACCCATTGCCCTTCTCCAGACTGCCTTCCACCCTTTCTCTTATTTCAGCTTCCTCCCTACATTCTCTGCACCTCGGAGCACTGTCTGCCACCCAAAGTAACTGAGACTCTTTTAAGATATTCTGGGGTTTCTAGAACTATCTGCTGTTTCAGTTACCTAGACCAAAGCGTCTCTAAAACTGATAACCTAAAGAAAACCCTAAAACTGACACTGTTTCGAGCCCTTGCGGATCAGTTCTTCTCTCCCTATCTCAAACACCCCCTTCAATGTCTTTCCCTCCTTAAAAGGGTCCTGCATTAAGAATTCGGGGGAAAATGAAACAAAATTGTTCTGGATTTCTGTTAACTTTCTCTTCAGAAAGTTAGCTCTGAATCAGTCTGCTGAAGTAGGTGACTCAAAGAATCTAGAGGATTTTAAAGGTTTGAGGGAGGCAGCTGGACCCACATGTTCTTCTACTCCTTCCTTTGCTCCAGTGAAAAATATTAAAGAAAAAAAAAAACCGAGAGAAAGGGGCAGGGATAGTATTTGTAAGCACACAAGGTAGTTACAGAATATAACAATTGAACAGACCGGAGGGGGGGGATCAACCCTCGAAAGCCCAAACAAGTTATGAATTTCTTTCCCTCCCTCACCATCTTTTCTTTCAAAACAAAAGAGCGGACACAACCTTCCCGAGGCAGCAACACGGAGGGGAGCAGCCAAAATGTTGCATCATACAAAACATTCCGCGTTTGAGAAACAAGAAAACCAGATGGTGGTTAAAATACCTAACGCAGGAAAACCAAGCTGGGAATCTCGGGCTTTTCCGGAAGCCCAGGAATGTCTGCTCTTTTGAAAAAAAGAAATTAAGACTGCATGGACAATTAAAGTTACGGTTTCATACCAGCGGGGAGAAAAATGCTCTTTCAGAAAGCGTCCAAAGTTCAGTTCATGTCCCCACTGGTTCGAGGGTTCGGCTCCCTGGCTGGGGGTGGAATCCGAGGGCTGAGGAGTGGGATGGGGGGGGGGGGCGTCGGGCGCCCGGCGTGGTGTGGTGACAGGAACTCCGAGGCCCCAGGGGGGGCAGCTGGTCCCACAGGGACGCGGGGCCACCGTCTAGCGTCCGCCGGAGCCCGCGCGGCTGAAGGCAGTGACGACAGCCCCGGAGTGCTAGCTTTCGGCGGTCCCGGTCCCACCCAGGCTCCCTGGGGCAACCTCGGCGGCGAAGGCGCGGGTGGCCGGGAGACAATGGGCCACGGGTCCGAGAGCAGCGCTTTCCTCATCCCCCGATGCTGGGCGCCGCGCGGGGGCGCTGCAGGGGCGCGAGGGTTGATGAGCGTCCCACGCCCAGGGACGCCGCCCCCGGCAGCCGGCCGGCAGTTGGGGGTGCAGCTGAGCGGGACGGGGTGCGAGCGCTCTCACCTTAACGAAGAGCTCAATGATGGGATCTTTGTCTTCCTCCTTCAGTCCGTTCAGCGGCATCGACAACGCCATGGCCGGCTTGGTGGACTCCGCGGACACTGGTAGCGGCTGCTGCTTCTGCTCCCGGGGTTCTCTGGAGTGGCCTCCAACCGCGCTGCGCCTCCCAGGAGCGCGACTCTGGGGCTGCCCCAGCCCGAGCTGCTTCAAGTCACCGGGCGGGACCCAGGGGCGGGGCCTCGATGGGGGCGGGGCAAGACCCGGAGTCTCAACTCTCCAGAGGAAATGGGACCGCCGGACCTTGGGGGGCGTGGCCTCGGGCGGGAGAGTAGACCACCGCCCCGGCGCCTAGAGGCTGCTGAGGGGGCGTGATCAGGCTCGGGGCGTGGCCTACGCGCTGGCAGAGGGTAGGACCTTGAGCCACTCCCCCTGAGGGGGAGGGAGGAAGATCCCCCGCAGGCCAGAGCCTGACACCGCCTCCCGCGGCAGCTGGGGCGCGGCCGGGCAGCTGCTGCTGGCGTTGCGCCCCATGACCTCACACCTTCAGCCTGCCTGGGGAGACAAGTAGGTTCTCCCCAGCTGTAGCCTCACGATTCATTTGCTTTTTCCTGAAGCGGCCACTTCCCCAACTCTGTTAGATGAGGCTGCTTTTTCCAGGTCAACTTTTTGGAAAGTTTTCATCCCCTTAGAAACATATTTCCTCATCTGAGGTCTTCGTTTTTCCCTTTGACTCTCTCATCACTCCTCCTTTGGGAGCCGGCCTAGCACCCAGGTGAATCTGATGAACACTTCAGTTGCCAGGGGAATACATCCCAAATACTTAGGAGGCCTGTGTTCCGAGCCCCGGATGATAAAAGTAGGAACAGGATCCCCCTCCTCTCAGAACTTAGTCTTGAACTGCAACCCCAGCGTCTGCAGGCCGCTAAGGACGCCCAAACTATTTATTGTCCATGCTTTTCCCTCCTGCCTGGACTGATTTCTTCCCTCCAGTCACCTGGCAATCTTGAGTGTGCATCAGCGCCTGAGTGCTACTCCCATATCTGCGTTATCCAGTTCTCTGATTCTCCTCCAGAGAAGGGAAACGTTCACATCTTAACAAGCACCAGGACAATTTTAATGTAGCGATCCTCTAACCAGAAAAATTGCACTGAGGACAGGGGCTGTGATGCTTTGAGCCAGTCGGTGGCACCCAATCAAGGTTTGCTGCTGTTGAATGACTGGGCAAATGTCGTTCCTTCTGGAGATAGTTACTTGTTCCCACTTCTGATTCTGTAATATTTGACTCACAGCTAGCTACTCCTCCCCCACTTCCCTGGTTAGGTTGGATGATGGGTCCCAGAACTGCCAAATATAGTTTGTCTCCACATCTTTAGTGTATAGCAATAAGTTTCACAGATGATTTCATGTCTGAACAAATTAAATGTATGCATAAAATACAGTGAAACCTACAAATCCCTCCTCTTCCAGATCAAAGCAAGTTGCTCACATATTCTTGTAGGGACTCTGATAAAGAGGCAGCGACTCAGGAGATTAGAATCACGACATGCTCTGGAGTCAGACTGTCCTGAAACTTCAAGGTCCCTAAACCCACACCCCTAAGCCTCAGTTTCATTACTCCTAAGGCAAGGACAATTACTGGTCCTTGAGTCTTGTTCAGTCAGTGATGGCTGTTATCGCTGCACTGGCCTTCTGTCGTCCCCGCTCACCCCTGACGGCCAGCATCATATTCGGCTTCCTCTATGACCAGCTTGTTTGTTCAAAAGAAGCACCAGGAGGCTGCCCCCTAAATGGGGACATGAGCCAAAAACAAACTGACCGCCTGACTGGACTCTGAACTGAATCCAGCGTTAGTTTCTTACAGAATCACAAGCTATTCCAAAGTTCCCTTTCAGCCTTCCTCCTCCTGACTACCTGAAAAAGAACCGAAATGATGAACCAAAAAGAAATCAATGATGCTTTGATCTTGGATCAAAGCAGATCCAAGAAGATCCACATCTGAAAGATCAAATAGAACCTCAAAGAAGGGCCAAGGCTGGCCCTGAGGCAAAGGACTACTTCAGGAGTGCTTTCAGAGGTGTGTCTGAGGGTTTATCAAATTTACTTTGAATCAGCGAGTATTAGCTGTGATGATGACCAGGATGATGACCAGGGTCTGGAGACTAAGCGGACCAGGGATTTTTTCAACCCCATTGACTAAACGCAGATCTGAACTGGGAGGAAGCCAGCGGCATTGTCCTCCACCACAGAGCTCTGAGAGGGCGATGCTCTCCCAGGCTCACCCAGAGGCTCTGATTAGAATCCTGTTCATAGTCACTCACACCAGCATTTCCCAAGTTCCACCCCTGTATGGCTCATTCATTCACAGGGATGGCAAAGCTGGTCTGTGCAGGGAGACAGAGGGAAAGAATGTTTATACAGAGGAGGATCCATAAGCACACTGCCCCGAGTCTCATCTTTGAACTTTGAAAGGCACGTATATTTTGCATTCTAAAGTCATGTTTTTTATAACACACACACCAATCTTGAAGATGGGCGGAGATGTGTTCTCCCTCCGCACCCTACACACCCTTCTGACCTAATCTCTTACTACTCTCCCTTTGGCTACCCACCCCAGCCAGGTGGCCTCCCTGCTATTCCTTGAACCAGCCCAACACACCCTTGCCTCGGGGCCTTTGCATTTGCTCTTCTCCCTCCACAGAACATTCTGTTCTCAGAATTCCTGCAATTCCCATTCCTTTGCCTCCTTTAGGTCTTTATTCAAACTCTGCCTTCATGGAACCTCCAGAAGCCTCTCCCGATGACACACTCCTTCCTCCCACTCCCGAGTCTGTGGTGCTGCTGGATGATGACGGTCTCAACCCCACTTTCTGCAATTTAGGCAGTAGAGTCAAGTGTTAGGGACAGTGGACTCTGGGGTCAGACTACCTGGGTTCCAGTCTTGCCTCTGTCATTCACCAGCTCAGATAACTTGTTTAACCTCTCTGCTTCAGTTTCTCCTCTGTAAAATGGGTCTAAAAATAGTACCTATTTAAGAGGATCGTTGATAAGTAAATCTGTGTTAACTGCTTGGAACAATGACTGGCGTGTGCTAAGCGCTCTGCAGGGACTAGCGATTGCTATTATATCCATCTGTCCACAGTCTCAACCACTGAGCTCCCATGCTGCCTGCCAGACACCTAGCTGGGTGGTTTTACATCTAATCACCTTTATTCCTCATGGCGTTTCAGAAAAATCATTTCCATTGTCCCCATTTAACAATTAAGGAGGCCCTGGCCAGTGTGGCTCAGTTGGTCGAGCATTGTCCCACAAAGCAAAAGGTCTCTAGTTTGATTCCCTGTCAGGACACACCCCTGGGTTGCGGGTTCAGTCCCAATACCACCCCCCCCCACCCCCCCACCCCCGTCCAGGCGTGTACAAGAGGCAACCAATTGCTGTTTCTCTTTCACGTTGATGTTTCTCTTCCTCTCCCCCTCCCTTCTCTTCTCCCTAAAATCTTTTTTTTTTAAAGATACCCTTTGTAGAATTAAAGAAGTTCTTTTAAAAAAAAACAGTTAAGGAAAGCGAGGGTTGGAGAAGATAAACGTAAGTTATTCAGCTGGGAAGATAGTGGAGCTGGAATTCACTCCACTATCTGGAATTCAGACCCACGACTATCTCTTCACTACACTGTATACTAAGGGGGTGTGGGAAAAGGTCATCTTCTACCCATCCTTCAAGGTCCAAGTCAAATATTCCACTGCTCCAAGGAACTTCTTTGTGCCAACACGTTGGTCTGGATTCTGTATCACCCAACGAGAGCAGTCAGGGTGCCAGTGTGATCTTCCCCAGCAATCTGCCTCACTTGAAATTCCAGGTGGGCAAGTTACTAAGTCATGCAATTTTTCTCATTCTGTAACAGAATGTAACAGGGGGAAGGATGAGGAGAGCAAAGGAGGTCAAATACAAGGTGGTAGAAGGAGAACAGACTTCAGTTGATGAGAGCGCAATGGGGTATACAGATGTTGTATCACAACAGTTGTTTTACTGTTTAGTTGCACACCTAAAATGTATATCATGTTTTAACCAGTGTACCCCAATACATTTAATTTAAAATACATAAATAAAGGTAATGCAAAATTTAAAAATTTTAAACCAAAATAAAAACAGACTGGAGGAAGAAAAAAAAAAGCATGCCCAACATGGGACTAGAATTTAAAAAATAATGAATGAGCCCTGGCTGGTGTGACTCAGTGGACTGAGTGATAGCCTGAGAAGCAAAGGGTTTTCGGTTCAATTCCCAGTCGGGGCACATGCCTGTGCTGTGGTCCAAGTCCCCAGATGGGGGCGCACGAGAAGCAACCACACGTTGATATTTCTCTCCCGCTCTTTCTCCCTCTGCTCCCCTTTCTCTAAAAATAATTCAATAAAATCTTTAAAGAAAAGGAAAGAGAAAGAAAATGCTTTGATAAACCAAGAAACATAATCTATTCTTAGTATAAGGAGACTCAAAGTCACCATGATACTTGGTGTTTCTATATGAATCTAAAATTTATTGTGATACTCCTATGTCATTTCTGCATGACCGTATGTCATCTTTCTGCAACTGTGTATCACATATGCATTTCTCTCTGGAAGGATACACAAGAAATTGGTAACAATATTTACCCTCAGAAGAGGGAACTGGTCACTGGGGACCGAGGTGTACATTTGTTTACTATGTACTATTTTGTTCTATAACAATAAACTTTGTTCTATGGGTATGTATTACTGACCCCAAAAAATGATTTTAAAAAGAGAAAAACAGTTGAAAGCATTCTGAGTGCAATGAAGTCTAAATTGGTGGACAGTCACCCTTCCAGTTCTGCAGCAGGAACCCTGGGCAGGGCTCATCCCCCTCACCATCTCGGCTGCCGCCCTGTCACGCAGTTGGAACAGAGGCGCTCCTGCCTCCTTGCTTTGCCTCTCACCCCTTCCCACCACAGCCAGCTGCTTCCCCGTGGGGACCGGTCTTGAGGACGGTGATCCAGCTTCTGTTCTGTGCCTGGTTCTCTCTTTCTCACCTTTCTTCTCTTCTCTCTCTCCCTCTCTCTCACATTAATACACACACACACACAAACACTCACACTATTAAAATTATTTGGGCACAAAGCAGATCTGTTCCCCTGGGGACAGAAACCCTACCCTCAGCTT